GGGGGGGTCGTTTCTTCGCTCATAATCGGTAAAGACCAAATTAGCAAGCTAACCAGGAAATGTAGGTAAATACCACAAGCGCACTGTCTGGCTGCAACAGCTCGAATGACACTACCCCCTATACACCCTGTATATGACAACCCCCTACCCCAGGTAATTCACGTGCAACACGTAATTCACCGTGTACGTTAGACTCCACGCCTTACCCCTACATACACAGGTACTCTAGCACCTACGTAACCCCAGTGATACCGTACCATTGATAAATATAACAATAGCGATGCGCTTGGCAGCGGTAAAGAACACCAGTACATTTGCAGCTAGTTGTGTGTCCCAGCCGTAAATGATGGCAGGGGTTACTAGAAAGTACAAAGAATATATAGAGTATGTATATGATAGGGGTATTCCGTCTTTTCGTATTGCAGAGTTATCTTCTCTTGAGAGCAGGTATTGATTGTTACGTCANTGTTTGTGAGAGTAACGTCATCAATTTTTGAGAAAACGACGTAATTTTCTCACACAAACCAATGACGTAACAATCAATACCTGCTCTCAAGAGAAGATAACTCTGCAATATGCAAAGACGGAATACCTATCGCAGTGGTTTTATACTTAAAGCTATGCCTGATCCGATTTAAAGAGCAAAGAGTGTGTCCAATTAAAAAAATATGATTGTGTATTAACAATTTGTAGTTTTTAATAAGTTAATGAATATGATATTTCTTTTCTTTAGCCATCTGGTCCTTTTTCCCCTTTAAAGTTACATAATTATATAATAAACATATGCTAGTAAGTGAAAGTAACTTACTGATAATGATTTTTTTTCTTCAATAAAATAACATCTACATATATTCCGTCTTTGCGTATTGCAGAGTTATCTTCTCTTGGGAGCAGGTGTTGATTGTTAAGTCATTGGTTTGTGTGAGAAAATTACGTCGTTTTCTCAAAAAATGATGACGTTTCTCTCGCAAACAAGTGACGTAACAATCAATACCTGCTCCCAAGACAAGATAACTCTACAATACGCAAAGACGGAATACTAGTACATGAAAGTAACTAACTGATGGCTAACGCCAGTTTAACGTAACTAAAAACCGTACTTGATTGACTGTCGGAGTTAGCTTTCATGTCTACTCGTAATGATAAGCTCAGAATTAATCCAACATGTTGCTGTTGACAATTTAACGAATGGATGTTTCTTTAATGTAGATTATCAAAAGGTCTAGTTCCTTTCAGCAACGGTCAAACTGGCACTTTTTTCCAACGAAGCCACAAAACAGGTATGTTTTAGTAAAAGGCTGCTAACTCACAAAGCTTTAAGTGTTATAGTTAGTCCTGTATGTGTCTCTTGAATGGACACTCAACACTCTAGCTGTTTCTTTGTATAAGATGTTGTGTTTTGCTACAACATTTACCTGTACAAGGCTATATCACTTCCGTGTTGCTAAATCCATATCACTTGAATACAATTTACATGACTCATGACACGGTTGAATAGAAGAACTAGTTTCACAGAATCATAGCATTTTTTAATTTCCATGTAAAATATTGCAACGAGCGCGCGTCCGGTGCCCACGTCTCACCGGCCGCCGTCGAAGAAGTATGGGGTTCTTGTTTCACCAATATAGCGTGCTTCCTAGATCCTGGATTATCACGGTCGAATAACTTATATCTCCTCTATGTCAGGTCCGAGAACAATGGTCAGAAATAGTCTAGCAGTCTAATTTACTATGCGAAAACTCTAAATATCAACCAAGAGCCCAATTGACAGGTACAAATATAATTTATTAAAGGAACAAGTTAAATAACAAGGTATCTTTACAGAGTACAGATCAGTATAATATTACAATACAAACAAGGCATCAACACAGGTCCTTGCACCAACAATAACAAAGGTGATTGACAAATTGTACACAACTATTCCCAAATTATACACTCATTGACTGTATTTCCTGTACCAATGTCCCACTAATCACCAGAGCCTAACAGTCTAAGTCACCTAAATTATAATCTGATATGCAGACCAGGAAAAATACAAGAAAGCTTCAACTATTCAGATAATTTGTAATAATATGACACTACAGCTATAAATAGCCAAATACCGGGATATCCCCTTGTATTCGATGACGGTGTCTATAAATAGAACTATAATGACGTAAGCAGTAAGCCTAAACCCAAAGTATGAGAGATTCCTAAGTCTGACCTGTTCAGAAGCGACCGTCTGCCAGTGAAGACAGTGATGAACTAAAGAAAAAGGTCTGATCCAACCTGTATTTATAACCTTTCAAATATTACTACTCATGAGAGGTCTGGTGATTAGACGGGAGAGGTCCGGAGACACTATCTCATAGGATTGCATGAAAAAGTAATAAAACCTTATCACACACGGCCTCTCATAATATCCGCTCAAACAATAAGTGCTTTACATTGAAATAATGGTACAGAGTATAAAAATACATGTAAAACTACTATTTAATGCCGCTAAGGTTACGGATTAAAAATATACCAAGTTTAGGGAATTCCCTGCGGTAGTGACGTCAGACACCGGTAAGAGTTATCGAAACGCTTGAGAGGTCGCCGAGAGAGGTCCGAGAGGCCTCGCCGACTGACTAAACATCTAAGACATCGTTAAAAGACATAAACAGTATCCAGAAAGGTTAGCATACTCTTTTAAATATCATAATTACTTAATGTCCATCAATCTTCAGTGACTTACAACCCTAGGAAGTTAAAGAATCAATGTAAGGAGTTTCGAGCATCTCGCATAGTCAGCTTCCAAAATGGCGGTCTTGAGAGGTGTTTGAGATGCTAACGAGAGGTCGATCTTTAACACGAAATTAGCAGGGAAGTAATGTTCTGTAGTTGTTCTGTAGTTCTGTAGTTGTAATTTTAATAAGTTGAATAATCACCATATAAAACTTATGTACAAACACATTTTGGACTAATAAATGGACATTGGTGTTATTTATGTAGTGAAAACCCGTCACACAGGCGCACGGCGATATGTAAACAAATCGGCTGCAGGGCCGAGATAGCGGTGGTTGAAATCACCCATGTATACGGGGCTGACACGTTACAATATGTTAAAACTATCTATCCATAGACACAACTGAATGCATAAATGTATACGGCGATCTGTACCGATCATTTTAAATATATATACTATATATAGTAATACCGGCAACAAGTCAGATTACATGTTTGAGAGCCGTAAGATGATAGAAGCAAAACCTATACCCCATGTTGTAAACTTTTACAAGTAATGACTCTGCGTGATTGTATTACCTTACCGCACCGTTTGTGTGATTTAATCCTAATTACGTAACATGTATACGCCTCTCTCTCTCTCTCTCTCTCTCTCTCTCTCTCTCTCTCTCTCTCTGTTTACGTAGTTGTATTCTGCAGTGACGTTACTTATTAAAGCGTTGTATATCATTAACTAAGGGGGAAACTGTTCGTCACTTACTTCTATCCATACCATATGTGTTTACTTAAATAAATACCTGAAAACATGAATCAATTAAATATGTTTAGGCTCTGGAATATTTTATTTCCCCGAAAAGTGTGCTTATTGAAACTAGATCAGTGGGTCTTAGTCTTATTGTATGGTTATCCTCAGGTAATCTCGCCCTCATAGGTGAGCTGACAAAATTATCAAAAATAAATTATTTAAAATTGTACCTTATATAGTGAAAACATATTTTAGTTCAAAAATATATCCTATGAAAATGTACTAAATACTAAAACATTAATACCTGAAAATAATTAATAATAGTTACATTTGCATGGCATTGTCACTATATAGGCTATTTGGAAGCTGTGTCGTTGATGGGACTTTAAATACCATGCACCATGAGACATACTTTTTAGCGTATTAATACAATACCGACCGGAACTACAATATCCAATGTAAAAAAACATGACGGCTGCTGAAATATCGCTCGGCATTGTGAGACTTGAAAAAGAAAAAAGAAAATATAAAAAATATACTTTGATTACAACAAAAACAAGCAATATCGTACAAAATGCACATCGGTTGAAATAACCAATGCCGGCAATGGAATCAATTTTAACACTCATGCAATTTATCAGAAATATCGTCTGTTACCCTGCACTGATCAACAGGGGTTCGTTACGAATGTCTTAAATACACATATGATATATACCTACTGACATATATGCTATAGACTTACTGATATGAGTCGTAGCACACATAAACATACACAAGACATATGTGTATTTCAAACATTTGTAACGAACCCCTGTGCTCCGTCGCAAGATCACTCACTTCAAATGCTATCAGTATCATGCGTCTCGCAGCCAAGGTTTCCTCAGTGTCTGACGACATGTCAAATAACGAGGCTGTTGTAGAATCTACCGACTGTAGTCAGTTTCCCATACAATCAACAAATAAATTCACGCCTGGATTCTTCACAAATACGAACTTTTCTCTCTACTCATTTAACTTCCGAAAGAAACTCCCTCGTGGAGGGCAAGGTCGGATTCACGGTGTTCATTGTATTTATCCATGCAAGAAATTTGTTCCGTGAAAAAATCGAAACAATTTAAAATCTAACTTTCAGCTCAGATTTCTATTGATAAACTTAAATCACCCTATAGACATATCATATGCAATTGTATTGATACTGAATTGTGGATTAAAATTGAAGTGTTTGTTAAAATTTCAAAGTACTACTTTGCTTGCCAATCAGCACGCGACAACACGCTGTTCCAACTATTAAACGAATTTGTGTGAACTGTCGATAAGGCGGGAATTTTAATTTTAAATATAAATTGTAATTTAAAAAAGAACATAAGAGGCAGAGAAAACGTAAAAATAAGTATTGAACTGTTTTTGCATGGTATTTTTGATCTGTTTGAATGACACAGCTTTGCAAGTAAACAACATAGTGAGTTATTGCGCATTATGTTGTTTGCTTGCAAAGCTGTGTCATTCAAATAGATCATAAATACCATACAAAAACAGTTCAATGCTTAATTATAATTCTCTGTAATTATTACCTCCCTTAAAAATGTGCTAATCGAAAATTGATCAGTGAGTATTAGTCGTCTCATTATTGTGTAGCTAACGACAGGGTTTCTCGCCCTTAGAGTGAAGCAGACTCAATTATTAAACTAAATGATGTAATATTGCAGAGGTATTTTATGTAGTGAAATCATATTTTAGTTCACAAGTATACTCCGAAAATTGGAAATGCTTCAGATATTTATAAAAAAAAAAAAGAAAAAAAAAAAGATTGTAATGTTAAATTTGAGAATCAAGTTTGAATATTTCAACGTTGATTGGCAACATTGATTAATGCAATAGCTGATATAAAGGTAGGGTTTACTAAATTGTACCATACATATATATCATATACTTCCACATAGATAAATTGCGGGAATTAATGAACTAAGAAGGTGCAAGATAAGATATTCGTCATTTTATTAGAATAAACCAACCTCATAAAATAAACAAAAAATAAAATTCCCACCCTCATCATATTATAAATTTTGTTTTTGCATTTATATATATTTCCATATACTGAGTGAGATAATTTTTCTAAATATTAATTTTTCGCTAAACATGTAATTCAATGAAGTTTTTTTACTTTTACTCAATGATGATCATGCATTTCCTGGTCTATTTTTAGCAACAATGACTTTGGTCTTGACCTTAGAATTTATTTAAAACCTATTGCGCATAAGCATATCACAGTGTATTGCCATGTCAAATGTCTGGAAAAAAATATCTTTTTGATTCCGAAATAATCTTTGGAAAGGAAATAGGGAAGACAGACGGACAGACGAATTGATAACTTTTTCCGATGCAGAACAATTATAAATATATTTGTTAAGTTGTATATGGATTATTTGCTTAGCTCAGTTGCCAATATTTTGTAAGTTGTTAAGTTTATATCATATAGTATCTGGGATAGTTGGTTGGGTGTCCAGGAGAGTAGAACACGGACAATAAAACATTTCTAAAACATTTTTACCATCTTAAGACTGCAGTTCTGTTTCCAGTTACTTATACACATTTTGGACAGGTGAAATACATAAATGGACTAAGGTTACATGTTCTGTCCACATCCTATATTGCACACATAAAACAGCCATGGCTGTTCTAAACCTGAATAAGATTCCAGCAGACAACACACTGTTCCAAAGAGATAGCTTTCTTTAAGAAGGTGAAACTGCAATGTTCCTTTGTTTAAGGTTTTAAGGGCTCACATAACTAAATCTTTTACAATTTGTTATTACTCAGCTTTTTGAGCTAATAGCTTTAATTATTTTGAAGTGCAACACTAGAAACAACTGTCTAGATTCATAGATACATACCTGAGAGAGGCATCAAAAGGCAGTTTTGGGTGAATAAACATGATAAAATGTGATAGAAATACTTTTGTATGATATAAAAATATAATATTGACAATTCGTTATATCGTCTCTGTAGCGTTACATTTCTTTTAATACAAGGGTTTAAACCCAAACTTCATTGCTTCCCGTTTCGTTACTGTTCTGTGCATCATGGGGTTGGTTTTGAGTATCATCCTCTCTGTGTGCTGTTGTTTTGCTATTTTCCATGGAAGACGACCCTACACAGTTGTCATGACCATCTACGTGAGAATTTGTTACAAAGGTGTCCACTTTTAAAGTGGATTTTGTGAATTCTGTATATTTGAATGAGACTGCATGGCTATTTTCAGAACTAGATGCAACAGTTGTTTGGTCTTGATTTGAATCTGCCTTTGCTGCACCACATTTATCTATAGCGTTAGATTCCTCATCCCCCAATGCGAGTGATGCTTCTTCAGGACAGAAAACGTGACTGTTTGTTGAATCTTTTGATGGTTCCTGCATCATCAACGGCGTATTCGAACTGCTTTTTCCATTGTGTGGTTCTGGTGTTGAACTCTCGTCTGAAAACTCTGAATCATTGTAAACAGGCTCGAGATAGTCATTTGAGCCCTCAGGTGATAATTGAGAGAGGGAATTATGTGTCTGCTGCTGTTGTTGCCTGGGTCGTAGTGGAAGTTGCGGTCTTTGTAATGACGATATCGTTGCGTATGTACTTCGAGCACTATCTGTCCCAAATGAAGTGTTCGCACAAGAAATGTCATCCGACATGGTTGATATTCTAGTTAGAAAACAAAGTCCGGAATCAGGCATTGATTTTGGTCACTATAACTTTAAATAATATTTCATGCTTTATTAATCCTGATGATTGTTTTTCAAATTCTGTTTTTTTTAAATGTTACACCAAACAATGCATAATAAATCGACATGTGATACTGTACAGTATATCGGGTATTTTTGCGGGAATCTAATTTTCACTCTATCTGCGAGATGATAAACAAATATCTTACGTGACAGCCTAAGCATGGAAATAAAGGTCCCAAATTCAAATTTCATTTTTAACTGATTTGCGAAATGTATATCACCCGTGTTTGTCCGGATATACGGTTTTTCATAGCACCACATGTTCAACGAAGATTAGAACACTAATGGACTTGTACCGGTCTGCCGATAAACATATTGACTTTTTTCTTGCAAGCAATCTCATTTATAACAGTATTTTGGCAGTTATATGAAGGTTTTAAAACATTGACTCCAACAATAGATAAAAAAATCACTATTCGTGGATTTGAGTTCCAATTTTTTTTATTTTTTTTTATCTTACTTCTTTCGAAATCAAAACATGTCATCTGAAAACTTCTCCCTGGCTCCAGAACAATTAAAAATTAAAAAAAAAGACATACAAAATAAGATCATAATAGATTTGATATTTTAAATATTATTATCAGCGATTTTTCACTTACATGGCTTCGACGTCTGCCAGAAGAGATTGGGCACTGGGTCTCCTGGTAGGGTCTCTATTCCAGCAAGGTTTTAGTAATCTGTATATCCACTCCGGACAAGATGTGGGCTGATTGGGTATCTCCTCTCTAAGTAGATTATCCAAGAGCTGAAAAGATCAGTAAACAACGCTTAAACAACCTGAATATATTAAGTAAGTATTCTCAAAAAATAGACATCAGCGTCCCCAAAATGAATGTATTAACTTATATTATATCTTATTATTTGCAATATTAACTATTTATACGAACTTATTATAATTGATTTATAGATATCTCTTCCGTTAAACATTATGAATTTTGAACATTATTGTATCGCTTTGGTACTATCAAGTTGATGTTTTGTTTGAGCATTAGTAATGTATGGATTTATCGTAAACAAATGCACCGATTCCATTACCTTTTTTGGATCCAACGTTGCAAATGGCACAGCCTCTAGACGGTTGACTATTGGGGTTGTCTTCGATAACGAGGCTGAGGCATAGAACTCGTAAACGGTCATTGCTAACATGTAAACATCGCTAGCTGGCGAGTATGCTTTATGCTGCAGGACCTCTACAGGCATCCTGCAACAGTGATCTCATCATAATTATTTTCGTTCTTCGTTTCACTTAGTTCATTATAATCTTTCGGGAATTTTGCAGGAACCCCAGCAAGTAATAATGACAGTTTATGCCAGGTTTAAGTTAATTTAGAGAATATGGAATAATAATAATCATAACCCCCTAAAACATTCCAAAACAACAAACAGTTTTATTTACATGAATCCGTTGCCTCATTTTACTACACTCATTGAGTTATCGGACTTTAATTTCCTCGTAACCCCTGGACAGAGGTATCCACACTTCCGGACAGGAACAAAATTTCTGTCCTACCCCGTTTGGATGACCAGCAGGAAATGGTTGCGTGTGCTTATCCAGAAGTAACAGATATATGTATCGCACAGTTGTGAGTGCAATTAGTTAATGACAAATCTGTCGTCTCTCTTCTCTTTTAGCAATGAGTTTCCACAAATGAATAATTTTAATAGCACTGTCAACATCTAGTTTACGTTAAAAAGAAGCTATTGCATATGTATGACAATGGTTCTAAGTTTTGTGGAAAATGAGGGGAAATGACCATTCCCTATCCGGAAGATAGATAAACGAAATTTCCAGTCTGAGAGGACATTTTTAACAGTCTTACCCGTGTGTAATGTAGCATCGGTTTAGACATTTCTTTGTCTTTTCCTCAAGATATGGATACATTCCGTTGGTGTTATTTAGATCGAATGTGATTTTTTTTCTGCTTGCAACGTTTTTACAAACTCGCCATTATCTAGAATAATTTGAAGGCAAAAAACGAGATCAGTGTTGATCGAACAAACACCAAAAAGCTCTAACATAATAGTAAACATTGTGTACACTCTCCTCTCTACACATAATGTTATGGGGGATTCTTACCAGTTCCGTCGATCATCTGTGTTTGTACATGTGTCCGTGACACAACTAACAGCACTTCGGCATTTCAGAAATCTTCCTATGCGTGGCATGAAAACCTTATGAATTGAAAACAATAAAAAATAGGAACGTATACTTTAAATATTATTATCATTTTGTAATACAACGATCGCATGGTTTCAGTTCCTACTATCGAATCATTTTCAGGTATATAATCAAAAATGTTTCCGCTTAAAATTACAACAAAATAATACCAAAGTATTAAGTAAAACGCTATTGCATTGTGTTGAAATGCTAATATTGTTATTTGAGTGAAAATGTTTCATGCGATTTCCGAACATTACGGAATAACACGAATTATTTTATTATGATATAGATATTTTATGTATTTTATATGTGGTAAATATGAACGCCGTAACACACTTTACTTACAGAACGCTTACAGAGATTGCTTGCTGCTTAGCTGTACGATAAGCATGGCCATTTCAATATCCGTAAACGTTCTCTTTCTTGATGGTAATATGTCAACTTCCAAAAACTACTTTTAACCTGTCGCAGAGGATTCAAGAGCTTGCATCGAATATACCTAAACACACGTTTTCCTCTGATAATGAAGTCGGTGGCCATAGACTTGTTTACATACCAATTTGAGTTGTAGAATATATACAAAATAAATCATACACAAGGACAAAACTGAAACTGAGTTGACAACAAAACAACCTGATGTAAAACCAACATAAAAGAATATAGTCCATAAACAAATGCGAACTTTTCTCATACCTTGCCTTTCGCTTTAGATTTAAACAGAGTTGAGCAGCAGATGTCCCTAAGAATCCATTTCTTTTTGTGCATTTCAGAAACAAACGAGACCGCTTCCTTAATGATATTAGCGTACGCCTCCTCATTCTCTGCGTCTGCAGGGTCGCCAAATAGGTTTTCTAAGGCAATGTCTAGCAAGCATTTTCCCTTGAAGCACCTGTAAAGCTATAAAATAACTAGATGAAATTACCAAAAAAAAAAATTGTTGCTAAGCAGTTATACTTTCAAGGAGGGAAATAAAATGTGTGCTATACCAAAAATAGTAATTACCGTTGTCACGCCGTTTCACTCTGTCCAAAAAGGAGGACAACTGCCGATATTAATTTACATATAGTTCTTGTCAGACCGATTTGCATTTATATTCATTCGCCGATTTTTATGATAATTTATCGTGTTGGCCAAAAACACGTTGTACGTTTAAGAGTTCATATCAACAAAATCACGTCTTCGGATTCAGAATTTTAAGCATTTTAGATTTAAAAAACAAATGGAAAAAAAGTGTTAACTTGTTCTTACCAGGGTATGAGTGATTCCGTTTTTAACTGTGCTTTCTAGTGATTTTTTCTGAGGGGGAAAGTTGACTATGTGCTGTTTAGTGGCAAAGTCGCTGTCTGCTTTCATTCTGTCAAGTGGTCCATCTATAAATTTCTGACTGACTGGTTCTTCTATATGTAAGTATATTCCCTGTGAATAATGAAGATACACACAGGAAGATAAGCAATATGACTGAAAAAGGTATTAAAATTTTCGAAAGTTTTTTTTCTATACAATCATATGCATCATGTAAAATATATAAATGTCCGAATAATATGTCAGAGTAAAAAGAACATTCGAAGAACATTCAAAGTTTTACTTTCTCCACAAACAATGTACGTGTTACACAGATTCACAGACATTGGAAGATATTCGTTTATTTATTAAAAGTATTTCGATATCAAAATTAAAATTTTAAAACAATATAAATAAACACAGTACATTTAAGTGTAAGATGTTTTAAACCATTGATTTTTCTTATTTTGAAGCCTGTCAGATTTTAAAACAATGTAAATAAACACAGTACATTTAAGTGTTAGATATTTTAAACCCTTGACATTTTTTTTAATTATTGAAGCCTGTCAAATTTTAAAACAATGAAAATCAAGACAGTAGAATTAAGTGTTGGATATTTTAAACCATTGATTTTTTTTAATATTTTGAGGCCTGTCAGATTTTAAAACAATGAAAATCAAGACAGTAGATGTAAGTGTTAGATATCAATGTTTTTTTTATATTTTGAGGCCTGTTAGAATGAACACACCGGCCCGTAAACTAAGGTTTCCGTTACTACATGATTTTAATCAATTGGCTACCTCCCTTTACTTGACAAGTTACAACATTTGTGAGATAATATGGAGAAAACGCTACACTGAAAGTTTTGACAAGAAATTATAATAAAAACAACCAACTTATAGTTCCGACACACTCCAATGTCGAGAGCATGGAAACTTTACCGATATTGATGAGATGACAAAGGAATTTCCGATTACCAGAAAGTAGAACAGAGAAAAAAAGAAAAGTTAAGGATATGAGGGGTTGTATCGGGGATAAAAAGATATTGTAGACTAATTGGTATATAATTATTAGGACATTTATATATTTTACATGATGCATATGCTTGTATAGAAAAAAATGGTAACTTCTATACGAGGGCACAAGGAAATTTACCAGTCTCACCGAAATAACCTCATACGACCTGACAAAACGACCAAATATCCGGACAATTCTTTGATAATATCGTCATAACTGCAGACACGTGGGCACATCAAGCATGCTTGTAGGAACACTATTTGCTCTGTCATTAAAAATATTAATTTGTTTATATTTTCTTTCAGTTCTTTCCCTTTTATTGTCGATAATATTTCTTCAGAATATGTAAACTATTATGTTGTTTTTCTATGTAAAGTAAATAACGACTACAAAAGGAAAATACTTTTGTCATCCAACGATATTCCGTCTTTGCGTATTGCAGAGTTATCTTCTCTTGTGAGCAGGTATTGATTGTTACGTCATTGGTTTGTGTGAGAAAATTATGTCGTTTTCTCATAACATGATGACATCACTCTCACAAACAAATGACGTAACAATCAATACCTGCTCACAAGGGAAGATAACTCTGCAATACGCAAAGACGGAATATGTACGACATTAACGTACTAAAGTATGATGATAATATAATACTTTAGAAGTTTAATGTTGACAATTTTAACCCTTTCACCACTGTAGAGTATAATTGACTCATCCAGATCAATGTATGGTAGAGTCTTCTAAAGTTACCTAGGGGTGAACGGGTTAAGTAATGTACTATCAATAGTGGTACCGTACCTCTTGCCGTATAACAGGATGATCCGGAGCGGTGAGATCGCTCTCTGTAATCTTGAGGGTATTAGTTTGAACCTTCTGCTTCATCAAAGTATTGTAATACAAAGCCTTGACGTCTGCAACACAAATGTGCGATATGTAAACATGAAGGGAAAAAACGAACTCACAACAATGATTTTTAAATTATGATCGTTAACGGTTGTTTCAAACTTAATTTTGATCAAAGTGGAACTCTTATGACATTTAAGAAAGATGTGAGAACGCACGGACGGACAGACAACAAGGTGATTTGAACAGAAATTAAAAAGTGCATATTTTAGAGATGTATCTGTATGTGTGTGCATTTTTCTTCAATATAAAACAACGGAAGCAATTAACAACCATTTTACAATATCTTATTTTTCTTAATTATAATTTCTTACTTACTTCCATCTAAACTTTTCAGCTGCCTCAACTTCATCGTTGTTCCCTAGTTAAGTAAAATGTTGAGGGAAGAAAAGTGTACATTGTAAGAAAAAAGAAATATATTTGGTTGCAAAGACCGTCATGTTATTATTTTGTTATAGGCATGCCTTTGTTTGCACTGATCATATTACATCATGCCTTCGTGTGCTTATGTTGTATTTTATTTTTCTATATCAGAAAACTGCAATCATGCGTGTGTCTCTGTATATTGCAAATGCGTTATCTTAAATTAGTTAGTAGTGCTCGTCCTTTTTTACACAAGTATATAACAAATACAAATTCAAAGCTTAACCTGTTATCATGCTTTTGAAGCTTATTCAATGCATCAATTTTTTTCTACAATGCAAACTCTTTCTCGTTCGTCGTTCTATTAAACAAACTATGATCCTTTTTTATGTAATCATTGTTTTTTTCAGATACAATAAAATCTATAAAAAAATAACTTTAAGGAATTTGTTTTTAATTGGTCATAACAGAGATGGTCCCTTAATAGAGGTTGAATAAGAAGAAGTATGTTGCCTGTTTGGATGAGAAAATGCCGGTCTCTAGAAAGACACTGGCTTATTAGGGCTGTTATCTCGAACAGATTCGACTGTAGTCTTTATTTTGCATCGGTTATTACACAAGTGTGATTAGTCATCCATCTGTAAGAGGTTTTAAAAACATCATTGTCTTTTGATTTTTTTTACTTACCCGCTCTGGTTTGTCTTGCTGTAGCTGATTAAGCTCAGGATACAAGCTTCCCCTGTTAGTGAATGTGATGTTTCCACTGTGACTAGCTGCAAATTGAACGTGAAATATAATTATTAAGTTATTAGTGATTAGGATCAAAACTGGATTATGTGAACCTATTTGTATGTGTGTGTAAATGTAGGTCCTACATATATGTATATTGAAGTTATCCGTCCTGACTGTCTGCTTGTCAGTCTTGGTACCACAAACCCTCCTTTCTTGTCNCCACCCCCGGATTAAAATAAATCATTATATGTTATGTATGCATTTGGTTTATATGTTATGTTTACATAGCAAAACTATTTTTGTAAGATGAATGAACACAGAAAGTTTGGATTGACAATTACAGTATTTGTAGGAAAATCGAAAGCAATATATTACCAATTACTCCTTAACGCGTTAGTTCTGATGATAAAATTTGAATGTATATCTATCAATAAACATTTCATTCTTATCGAGCGCTAAAATAAGACGTTCAGAAAAACACTGGGTTAACTGCAAACGCGTGATATGCGATTAATAATGAAAAATACAAACATGTAAAGAATAAATATATAACTTTAAAAGGATCCTTTCAATTGTTCACTCACTATTTCTTTTTGTCGTTTCCATCCATCTCTCTATGTCTTCCTGCGCACTTTGTAGACTCGTTCTCTCGGGGGGTGACGCCCGAACGCACTCGACAATGACGTTGTGGATGGCAAGTGGGATGCATGGCCACCATTTCGGTTTAAGATCATGGAACAGAACCTTCATGAAAACAAATATTCAAGTGTTAAGTAAAAATTGGTTATAAAAAAATGTATGCGTATTCTTAATTTACAATATATGAACTTTTTGTGAAGTTCCGGAAAACAGATTATCGAATCAAGGTTGATGGTTCATTAGTTTGTTTGGTTTTCTTTTATTATTATTATTATTATTATTATTATATATATATATATATATCTAAAAATTGGACTAGATAATAAATTGGTCTATCGATGAATAGAACGAAAACCGAAGTACACTCTGAATAAATCTTCATCCCTGGCAATTTTTACATGTGTTATCACCCATAAATTGGTATCAATTTCATGTAAAAAACCGATATTTAACCAATCTATAAACGCAAAACCTTTTAATTAAACGTACTATGTCCATGACGTCATCAAGATCATATCCGTATATGTCCGTGTAGGGATGACATCCGTGGGTAAAAATCTCATACAACAACTGGCCAAACATCCAAACGTCCGAGGAGTGACTGAACTCATCCTCACAAAGTGACTCGTAGGAGGACCAACGAATGGGAATATCAACCGTCACTGGAATAGGAAAAACAACAAGAGAATGCAGACCGAGACTCGTAGGCGGATCAACGGAACGGAATAGGGAAAAGACCTGCACACATAGAGAATCTCGTAGCGTGACCAACGGATCGGAATGCCAATTGTAACTGGTTTAGGGGGAAATACTACAGCCATGCAGTGACTCATACGCGGACCAACGGAATAGGATGCCAACCATCATTGAAATAATGGTGCGTCGATACAAACAGACTCTTACGCAGACCAACACTTCAGAAAGTCAGCTGTCACTGGAATAAGGAAAAATACTACAAACAGGCAAAGATTCTTAGGCATGCCAACGGATCTAAAGGTTTACAGTCACAAGAAAAGGGGAAAATACTGCAAACATACAGAGACTCGTATGCACGCCGACGGATGGGAAGGTCAACATTCACAGGAAAAGAGGAAATTACAGCAGAGATTCATAGGAATACCAGTGGTTCAAAGTATAAGCCATTACTGGAGTAAAACAAATACAAAATACGTTCTCCATCATGGTGCCACTATCCAGTTCATGTGTTTTTTGGACAAATGTTCATCGTTAAATCAAAAACTGCCTCTATGTTAAAGCATTTTGCTGGGACTAAACATGAATGGGCTAACAGATATCGATCGATTGCAAAAGTCTTGTCGATGGCATATGTAACACATTCTGCTAACACTTTGATAGCAAATTGTTCTTAGAAACCAACAGAATGTCTTTCATATTTTTGTCTGAATACAAAATAGCATAAAGGTACAAGATTAAATCTTATTGACGTTTTATTTTCCGGTAACGGCAAAAGAGCAGTTGAGAATTATATTTTCCTTTTTTTTTCACATTCAGTGCAAACTTTTGAAAAATTCTCTTTAGTATTCTTCGAAAATATAAATCTTATGTTTCATAGTAAAGATGTAAATAAATCAATATAAAATATTTAATCAGTGTTAAAATAATGTTTACCTTGCATCGAGTGATCTTCAAGTTCGTCTGACTCCCTCGGTAAAGTCTTCGCAATACTGAACTCCGAGAGGACAACGGTTTGATCACGACATCTGAAACTGTCCGCAACAATGTTTCGATGAACCAAACCAGCATCGTGAAGAAATCTTAGTGCTTTTACAGCCCCAAGACTTATGAGTCCAAGCATTTTGTCGGAGATCCAATTTCTATCTTTCCTGTGTGCCAGAAGATAGGAACTAAGTTTCGTTTCCTGTAGTGTTTCAGTCATGTAAAACAATGGAAGTGGTTCTGTTTGAAATGCAAACAAGCGTTGGACGTGTTCGTTTGGCCCGTAGGCCGACAGTTTTTTCAACACCTTCAGAGAATTGTAGTGTTCGGCGGTTTGTGGAACTTTTGATGCACTTTGACGATAAGTGTCAATGTAGAATGTTCCGTTTAACAGTGACTCTCGTGCAGGTAGAAAAACTTGCGTTGATACATGGATATGTCCTACAATAGTTCCTTGGAGAGTTTGCCATCTTAGAAAACTATTCTCTATTGCTGTTGAATGAGAAGAAAAGCTCAAAGATTCCAGAGTTCTCGTAAGATATCTCAGCAATGTATCATTCAACGAGAACGATGTGTTCTTTTTGAGTATTTCAGACACTTTTTTGACTATAGTACCAGTTTCATGAAACATCAAAATCGCCACTTCCTGTTGTAATGCCTGTCGTATTTCCGATTTGATTTTTGAACTGCATACGATCATTTGGAGAATTTCACACAATTTCTCTTGTAAACTACACCTTGTTGAATCGGAGGTCTCTGTTATAAACAAAACAAAAACATGGATTGTTTTTATGATTAAACCTTTGATACTTCATACTTTTTCTGGGTAAAGCCTGTTGGCGAAAATACAATAAACTGTGGTTTATTTTTAATTTCAATTAAAATGCATTTTCAAACAATCTACTCAAGAATCCATTACATACGGAAGTACGTTTTCAAGACGTTTGATTTGCACAGGCATATTAAATATTGGATAAATAAGAAAAGAAAGATTAATCCAAAGCAAATAACAAGATTAGTAACATCATGAAATATTCTTCAGCGAGTTAAATACAGAGAGTCAAACTCAAATTTCGAATACAATAACTTAAAATATGGTCAAAACAATTGTATTAAATTAATAGTACTTCCCACTGATGAACGATTGCACAGAGAAATGGTTTATCATGTAATAAGAAACCATTTCTTTTTCCAGACAATGTATTCCAGTTGTTATGCTTCCTAATTACGCTATAATCTATGTCGCTATATATTTACTTGTTTGGTATTTCCATGGGTGAAAATAATGATAATGAGTGTTTCCGAAAATATTGACCAGGAAAATTATAACCATCTGGATTGTCAATAAAATATGTTGAAATGGAATTTTCCTATTTTGCTAGTCTCTAATTAAAGAATTATTGCATAATATTCAAGTCGACTTGACTCTATAAATGACACATATATCATCGTTTCAGTTGAATATATACAAACGTTTCATGTGTCGTTTCTCCAGAGTACTGACTATCGCCCTTGTCGTCAGAAGCAGTAGGCCATAAATGTGTTTATCTCCATTTGTCTTCTTTTTGTAGAAATCCAAGACAGATACTACACATGTGCAGAAAAAGTCTAGTGTGTCCATAGTGCCTGGGAATTTGCTTATCTGCCAATGAAATGATGAAAAAAATCAAGATAAAAGGCGACAAGAAAGAATTATCAAAGCAGAAGACACGTACACAATAATAGAGGAGACACCAAAACACGAGAGCACACAGCATGAATCTGATAAAACTACATCATTGTATGTTTAGGTGAAAGATACCAGGTGAATATAGTTGACATATAGTTTCATAATAAATGATGACAATGCCGTTCAGTAAAGGGGATAAAAGAAAATATTTGCGCCGGTCAAGTTTATTTCTACATTGAAAACTCTAAAATATATTATTCTTCATTCAAAAGTATAATTTCAGGAGCATTTTTGACAACAAGACCGAGACAAGAAGACCATGAATTGCTTATGACCAAAACACGGAATTTTGCTTGTGTATAGATTCGGATTTGAAACATAACAACATTTTCATGAATATGGTTATGCACTTAATTCTATTCGTTAATACCTGAACGATGACTCCTAAGATCAGAGAGTAGTGCTCCAACGTTGACATTTTTAAGAAGTCTTTAGATAAGCGTTTCCTGTGCCTGCCATCGTGCAGTTCCTCGCTAAAGTTCCCCAGCTGAAGGTGACTCATTTTAGTTGTTTTTAAAACCTCTTGAAAACTTGTTAGGATCATCCTCAAAGACTGCCGAAGATTCGACACGGTTGGACTGGAATCAAGCGTACTGAATGTGTCCATGATATCTATGTAGTTCTGGAGGTTGTCTCTGGTCGAGTCTGATATAGCCTTCCTGTCTGGATGGTTCAGGGATTGGTGATGTAATACAAGCAACACGAGAATCACTACGGGTTGTATACCAATCGTCGATTCAGGACACATCGCACGCTTCTGTAGCACTGGGAACAGGGCATTCAAACTTGACAGCAGTTTCTCATAGTTATGAGTTCTCATGTCTGTTTGAATCAACAGTTCAGTCATGACTCTCGCGACCCTGCTTTCTATTGCTTTATGGTCACAGTCTAGTAACAGTGCTAACGTTTCTACGTCACATTCTGACACAGCTTTAGGGATGGTGTGTGTATGTACGTGCGTTATCATTCCTGAAGCCGTTTTGGTTTCGGCTGTGTTGATACATCTAATGATATTGCTCAGGTCCTGATCACCCAATACTGAAAATAAATGAAAGAAAATAACTGTTTATGTTAATTTTTCGCGGTGTTTTAATTGTTTTCTTTTCATTCTTTTTTCTGAAACAAGTTTCTGCGAAAATATAACCAGCAAAATTGTAAGCAAATTAATCTTTTCTGACCGTAGCCAGGATGCAGTTGCAACTAGACCTGAAATCCGCAAAAACAAAATATATACATATATGCTGAAATTGACCATTTTAGCAAATTTCGCGTTAAACTAGGGACCACGAAAAAAACAAATGTACTATATGGCCATTTCGTTCATTTTGGATTAATCAATTGTACTTGATGTCAAAAGGTCAAATTAAAAATATATATGTGTTTCTAAAGTGTTTCGAAACGCATGCAAAAATACATAAGGGGAGTAGTGCATATGATAATTTCACCCTCCTCCTGAAAGGATCATTGACAATTTTTCTATTGTTAAGGTGACAAAATTTCGCTGTCCTCAACTTTATAACAAAACTGATAAAAGTAAATTTATATTTGATACTGTTGGTTTCCATAAATAAAAATGGTTCTTTAAACCGTCTGTCATACCAATATGCATCCTATGAACGGTCGTGTATCAGACAAAGGTACGAAATCTAGAGAAGACTGTTACCAAAGATATTGTCTGTTCTATCTCGACGATCAAAACTCGAATTATGTTAAATTACAGGTATTTCACTTGCTAAGTTATCACCTATCGACAAATACCTCCTGTCAACAACTACCACCATCCAACAACTATCATTTGTCTACTACGACCTTCTTTCAGAATTAATAACATTGCTTCAAGTACCACTTGGCTACGCGACCACCTATCAACCATCTCTTAAAACTACAGCCTGTCTGCAACTACCTTCTGTCTATAACCACCTCCTGTCTGCAACTACCACTGTCTACAACTACCCCCTGTCTATAACCACCTCCTGTCTGCAACTACCACTGTCTAAAATCACCTCCAGTCTGCAACTACCTCCTGTCTGCAACTACCGCCTGTCTTCAACTACCACTGTATATAGCCATCTCCTGTCTGCAACTACCTCCTGTCTGCAACTACCGCCTGTCTGCAACTACCTCCTGTCTGCAACTACCACCTGTCTACAACTACCACCTGTCTACAACTACCCCCTGTCTACAACTACCACCTGTCTATAACTATCACTGTCTACAACTACCTCCTGTCTACAACTACCACTGTCTACAACTACCTCCTGTATGCAACTACCACCTGTCTACAACTATCACCTGTCTACAACTACCACTGTCTACAACTACCACCTGTCTATAACTACCACTGTCTACAACTACCCCGTCTACAACTAACACTTATCTACAACTTCCACCTGTCTCCAACTACCACTGTCTACAACTCCCTCCTGTCTACAACTACCACCTGCCTACAACTACCACTGTCTACATCTACCTCCTGTCTCCAACTACCACTGTCTACAACTTCCTCCTGCCTACAACTACCGCTGTCTACACCTCCCCCGTCTACAACTACCCCTTATCTACAACTTCCCCCTGTCTACAACTACCACCTGTATGCAACTACCACCTGTCTCCAACTACCTCCTGTCTACAACCTTCATCTGTCTACAACTACCCCTGTCTACAACTACCTCCTGTCTACACCTACCACTGTCTACAACTACCACCTGTTTACAACTACCACCTGTCTACACCTACCACTGTCTACAACTACCGCGTCTACAACTACCACTTATCTACAACTTCCACCCGTCTACAACTACCACCTGTCTATAACTACCACTGTCTACAACTACCACCTGTATGCAACTACCACCTGTCTCCAACTACCCCCTGTCTACAACTATCCCCTGTCTACAACTTCCAGTGTCTACAACTACCTCCTGTCTACACCCTTCATCTGTCTACAACTACCTCTGTCTACATCTCCCTCCTGTCTACAACTACCTCTGTCTACATCTCCCTCCTGTCTACAACTACCTCTGTCTACATCTACCTCCTGTCTACAACTACCCCCTGTCTTCAACTACCACCTGGCTACAACTACCCCCTGTCTACACCTACCACTGTCTACAACTACCCCGTCTACAACTAACACTTATCTACAACTTCCACCTGTCTCCAACTACCACTGTCTACAACTACCACCTGTCTCCAACTACCCCCTGTCTACAACTATCCCCTGTCTACAACTTCCAGTGTCTACAACTACCTCCGGTCTGCAACTACCCCCTGTCTGCAACTACCGCCTGTCTGCAACGACCTCCTGTCTGCAACTACCACTGTCTACAACTCCCTCCTGTCTACAACTACTACTGTCTACACCTACCACCTGTCTACAATTACCACCTCTCTCCACCTACCCCTCTCCACAACTACCTCCTGTCTACAACTAGCACTGTCTACAACTACCTCCTTTCTACAACTACCACTGTCTACAACGACCACCTATCTACAACTACCATCTTTCAACAACTTCCACCTTCGTACAACTACCACCTGTCTACAACTACCACTGTCTACAACTACCATCTTTCTGTATTTACTAAATATCTGTTTTACCACCTCCCTATGGTAAACACCTATTTGTATCTCCCTGTTTAATAAGTTCCTGAGTATCTTTATCCTCGTCAATACTGATTCCATGTCGTTTATGACAATGTTTCTCTCTCAAATAGATCTTAAACAGATGTGACTGTACTTACATTTTGATTTACAAACGTCTTCTGAAGCATAAACCCCTGAATCTGTTCCTTCTTCCTCTGGCTTTTCATTTATCTTGAAGAATTTGTGAAACATCTCTCCCTCTGAAAAATCCTCGTACGTCTCCATCTCATCGTCCTCCTGAAGGTACAAGTGGTCTGATGAGTGATGCAGATCTGTACGGCTAGGTAGTGGTGGTCCACTCCCGCTCCACATATCAAAGTCACCCATGATGCTTAACCTTCATCAAATACGATCATTGTAGAATGTTAAAAATAGAAATATGCATATAAGATAATTGCAATATCGTTTTTTTGTTATCATTTTTTTATATAGAAATAGCAAATATAATTATATCGTGAACTTTTCTTTCTTGGTAGTTACCTCTCTGCTTCCCCACATAGGCTGTTAACATGTTGCAGACGATGCTAATTGTTATTGGTGCCTTTTTGACATTCTAAAATTGAAAACAAAGTGGACAATACTATACTTACTCAACAGTGAATAGCCAGCAAGTAAGGCTAGCAGTTCAAACAGCCTGATACTACTCCTGTGTCTAAGTCGAGTGGTTCAAACAGCCTGATACTATTTCTTTTTCTTAGCCTAGATTTTCAAACAGCCTGATACTATTCCTGTGTCTCAGTCGAGTGTTTTAAACCGACTGAAACTATTTTTGTGTCTAAAGCTAGTAGTTCAAACAGCCTGAAACTATTCCTGTGTATAGGTCTAGTAGTACCGTTAGTGACAAGATACAAACATTTAGAGATGAACGAAAGACATATAACTTGATCGCACCTACAAAATTAACTTCTTGCCATGCGTTCATCATCGATATGGATATATAACGGCATAGCATATATAGGATCTTAGTTTCCATTTCATATGAGATTTATGAAACGAGTTTAAGAATCTTTCAATTTAACGAGCTTCTGGCGAGCTAAAATGAAAAATTTGTGACGAGCTTCATCAATTTCATATACAATGAAAACGAGTGTAAGAACCTTTTTTATCACATAATCAAGATTTGTGTCATTTATTCGTGTAAAACGACAATTTTCATGCAACATTTAAAAGAAAAAAGCCGCCATTTTGACTCGTAAGTCTGTGACGTCATGTACTTGTCCGAGGAAAACCGGATTTCCCTTGGAAAAAACCACCGACCTACGGCCAGTACTTGGCAACTGCCCCACGTAGGCCTCGAACCCCGCGTCCCAGTGGTGGAGGGCTAGTGGTAGCAGAATGTCAGAGGCCTTAACAACATGGCCAACGCAGCCCTTGCACTATGCGATTATGAGCTAAAATCGCAGTTGTTTGTATAGCGCGACAGTGTGTCTAGCGCTTTACCTCTTCAAAACATCTTATGCGGTTCGCTGTTGAACCATAAATACCGTAAATTGATTTGTAGCTGATATCAGGGTCCTCAATTACACTGTTACAAAAACCCTTTAAACTGGCAGCCTGCTTGCTGAGATAAACATATGGCAATAATCCTTTAGTCGGTTATGTGTTGTTGTGTAATGTGCATAAGAACATAGCGAGCTGAAGTTACATTTAAATATGTGTATAATCACTGTGTCAACACACACACATGTGTGAAGTGGCTATTGAGTACAGTCTGAGGACTGCGTTAGGTCACTAACTGTTACGATGAAAGCATTATGTACCTTGGTAAATACACAGAAATAAATACAGTATGGCAATTACACAAAATAATATTATCGAAACTCAAATTATCTTGATACGTAAAATCAACATCATCAACTGAGGAGACAACTAATAAATGTTTTAAAAATAAGTCATATAAATATTTGCAGCATATTTGACTGCTGTTAGCCTGAAAGTGAATCAGAGTGATTCAAATAAACAGATGTGAAAGCCTTTCTATCCAGCTGGATTAAGTAACACGATGGTATGCCTCATAATTTGAACTGATATTATTTGCATAACCTTAAAAGTGGGTCAAGGCCGCGCATTTGAACAAACGTGATAACCCTTCACTCCAGCATGCTGCCGGCAAAATAAGATGACCCCAGGTATCCTGGTTATCCAAACAAAGTTGAAAATGTCTGAACTCTGTGACTTCTACACAGGGTCAAGGTCATTCAAATAAACAACGTAAATACCCTTCACTCCCTGTATGCCGCAGGCGAAATAAGATGACCCTAGGTCTATTGGTTATCCAAACAAAGTTGTTGCAACATTTTAAAACTTTTTAACCTTTGCAGAGGGTCAAGGTCATTCACATAAATGTGACTATCCTTCACTCTTGTATGTCACATGCCAAATACCTCAGAAGAAATCATACAAATGTTTTGATCTTAGTGATCTTGAAAATTAGTCAAGGTTATTTATTTGAACAAGTTGATAGATTTATGGGCGGATCGGTCGAGTTGTTAACATTCCGGCCTTACAAGCAGGCGGCTGGGGTTCGATCCCCGAAGACGTTGTACGAATTCAGAGAAAGTGTTTTTCTCCTGCCCACACAACTCCAACAACCCAGGTGGAGTAAACAATGGTATGGGGTGGATGTTGAAGTATCTGTGCTGTAGCATTCAAGTGAGGTGGCACTATAAATGATACCGTTGGAATCACGGTCCCATTACAAATAGAAAACAATACAACTCCAGCACACACGCAGGCATACACACATAGGGAGGTATTAGCCAGGTGACATAGGACTAGTAGTAAGCGCGGCTCCTGCGAATGCCTCAAAATATTTGTTGATTAATGTATATGTTAATTATATTAATTGTATATCTATGTACTATAAAGCGCTTTGGAGTGGCTTATGTTAGCTAGATATGGCGCTATATCAAATGCTGTATATATTATCATATAGCCTTTATTCCCAACAAACTTCCTGAAAGACATCCAGACCACTTAGCTATGGATATTTTTTCAGAAAAAATTAAGCTCACGAGTACTTTCAGCAAAAAGAGCTTAAAGCTGAAGATGTACAAGCTTACTGTGAAAACAGGGTTAACCAAAGCATTTGTCTTGTCCAGAAACCAACAAGAAAATACCGAAACGTCAACAATACCGTTAAAATTAAGAAAAAAATAACAAAGAAAAGATTTCTTATGCTAACCTTGATATGCATGGAACAGCTTTTCCTTTCTGCATTTGTTTTTTATTTATTTATGTTTTTTTTCTCTCTCTCTTCTTAAATAACACTCATTATTCAGAAGAAAGCTAAATGTTTTATACAATAACTAGACACATTATATTTTACTGTATGTGTTCTTTAGGTTTTTTGGAAATAAATAGTATATAATCATTTGACCACGGTTGTTAATTAGCTATAAATGTAAAACTCGGGACCTGACTTAATATTCTTTAAACGTAGTTTGTACTTCAGTCAAGCTTCAAGTCTCTACTCTGATTCGTTTCATTTGTATGTGTTTTACGTCCTATTAACAGCTATGGTCATTTAAGGACGTGTCAGGTTTTGGTCGTGGAGGAAAGCCAGAGTTCCCGAAAAAGGACCACCGACCTACGGCCAGTATCTGGCGACTGCCCCACCTGGGCTTCGTACCCGTGACTGAGAGGTAGAAGGCTAGTGGTTCTCTGTTTCAAATTGAACTAAAGTACAGAATCGGGAATGTATCAAGGAGGTGATGGTTAACTAGCCGAATCATCATGAGTAATAATTAGAAAATGTCCACTAAGTTGTATTCGAAAGGTAAAGTGTTTAAGCTGATACACAGTAGATGTGGGTCATTAGCAGCTTCCTACTGAAGTACATTGGGACCGTTGGTTTACAACAGAATTTACATACCTACCATACATTTACGAGCGGCAACTGACATTTATATAATACCTGACAAAAACAGATTTACGATATGTGCTGCCAAACGAAAAAGAAAATAACAAGTTATGAACAGTTATAAAATAATATTCTGTTTGAGACAAGATATTGGTCACATCAAACAGAAAGTTGAAATATTGTGGATTTATTTAGTGTTTTCTTTGTACCTTAGCCTGAAATATTACAGGTGAGACACAATCTTATTGTATGAGTCTGTTGGTTTACAGTACAGAAAAGAACTCATGAGTCATTAGGCTACTACAGAAGGATGGGATCAGCCACTAAGTTTATACGTGAAGTAACAAATATGATCACGCTTATCCTCCACTAGGCTTAGACACCACTATCCTTAAAAACACAGAAATAGTATCAGGCTGTTTGAACCACTTGCCTTATACACACAAATAGTATCAGGCTGTTTGAACCACTTGTCTTATACACACAAATAGTATCAGGCTGTTTGAACCACTTGTCTAAGACACAGAAATAGAATTAAGCTGTTTGAACCTCTAGACTAAGACAGAAATAGTGTCAGGCAGTTTGAACCACTTGTCTAAGACACAGAAATAGAATTAAGCTGTTTGAACCTCTAGACTAAGACAGAAATAGTATCAGGCTGTTTGAGCCACTTGTCTAAGACACAGAAATAGAATTAAGCTAATTGAACCTCTAGACTAAGACAGAAATAGTATCAGGCTGTTTGAACTACTAGCCTCAGACACAGAAACAGTTTTAAGCTGTTTGAACCACTAGACTGAAGCACAAAAATAGTATCATGTTGTTTGAAATATTAGACCTAGACTAGAAATAGTATCAGTCTGTTTGAACTACTAGACACAGAAATAGTATCAGGCTGTTTGAACTACTAGACCTATACACAGGAATAGTATCCGGCTGTTTAAACTACTAGCCTTAGACACAGAAACAGTATCAGGCTGTTTAAATCACTAGACGTAGACACAGAAATAGTATCAGGCTGTTTAAATCACTAGACGTAGACACAGAAATAGTATCGGGCTGTTTAAATCACTAGACATAGACACAGAAATAGTATCAGGCTGTTTGAACTCTTAGCCTTAGACACAGAAATAGTTTTTAGCTGTTTGACCTTATAGACCTAGACACAAAAATAGTATCAGGCTGTTTTCATTATTAGAATTAAACACAGGAATAGTGTCAGACTGCTTAAACTATAAGACTTAGACACAGGAAGAATATCAGGCTGTTTTGACCTTTTGACTTAGACACAGAAATAGTATCAGGCTGTTTGAACTACTATTCTTAAAATATTTTTCATTTCATCTGTATTAAGGATTCCTGTCCCCCTTCTTGCGACAAAAGACTAGAGAACGATCTTTTAGTGCTCCTTACCTACAGTAACATCCCCTGATTTTCATTACACGTACAACTGATAAACTTCTCTTTGTCCGATCTCACCCTACTGCGGTGGGGGGTTTTCAGAAAAGATTTTTTTTTAAATTACGGTTGATACTGAAAACAAAGACTGGGTGCATGCTAGAGTTGATCGCAGTAGTATAGAAATCCGAAAATTCACTCCCCAGAAATGATCGCTAGAACAGTCTTCTAAGAATAGCATCAAATGATTTTGCCCTCCCCCCATATTTAGATAATTTGGTTGTGTTGCATGGAGAAAATTCCATGAAAGCTGTCGATTTAAAACTAAGTCGAAAATAGCAGAAAACTGAATAAATTTCTACTTTTCTTCTGTTGTTATTTTTCAGGAGAGTAAACAAGAACATACAATACAGAAAACCACTCTTTTTATGACTAATAGTGTAGCTTATCTAGTGTTTAAACAGATGACAGAATAATAAAGGTCGCTTCGTCGCCATCATGTTACTATTGCGAAGGAACATTCATAAACGTTGCTTTGCCACGAAGGGGTGCTAATAAACGTCCTTTTGTCCAACCACCTCTATATACAAAAAAGCAAAGGAATGCCGAATGAAGTGACGAAAATGTGTGGAACAAGTACTTTCACCTTAACGTTATTATAAAAAGACAACGTGTAAGCGTTAAACATTTCTTTCGTAATATGGAAATATCGTGTCACCGGAAGTTTGT